CAATCAGGGACTTGCACGCGAATTGAAAGGTATCCGCCGCAAGCGGAGTCAGACTCCTGGCTGTGATGCAGGGAAAATAGACCCGAGCATATTACTAGTTGATTTTCATTTAACTAGTTATCGCGGCATGGAAGTTTTCCATCTCAGCAAGGCCCGAGCCACATAAATTTCTGAGTGTGGGCACCAGAAAAACATGCCAGAGGGGACTTGCTAAGCTGAACGATGGCTTGAGTGCTCCCAGTAAAATCCCAGGCATCTCCTCTCTGGCCTCTGCAAGAAATGTTGCGTTGATAGTTGATGGGACACCCTATCCACCATTGCCACACCGGAATTGATGTAGGAGTCAGTGGTATTCTGATAGCAACTTATAGTCCTGGAGTAGGAACAGCGAAGGTGGCGGTGGTGTGTCTATAAAGTATGGCACACAAGGCCAGTGAGCGGACGATGGAAACAACATGGAGAGGCTCGTTGCTTGCTGTGCGTCCGTAATATCTCTTGCGATGGACTCCCGGCTCTTTTCTGGTAACCAGTTAATAAGGATATTTCGAGCTGGTTGCGGTTCTCCTTCCCCTGTGGCTGGCATACAACTAGCTATCTTAGCTTTGCTTGTGCAGCTAATGTTGGCTAGGGGTTCCTGTGATCAAATATGTCTCCTCCACTTGAGATCTGTTTGAGCCTTTCCTCTCTGCGAAATCAGGCAGGTCAGAGATGGTGGACAGTCTTGACAGTCCTCTTAGCCGGAATACGTAGATTATGTAGATTCCAGAGGAAAAAATCACCAAAAGCTCTAGTGAATATCGGCTTTCTCCCTAGTATAATATCATCCATAACCTGGCATTGAATGTCCTCCCAGTCACCAACAGACTTTCCCAGGACCCGCTCAATGTCATGTACGGCATCAAGGTCATCAATATGTGCCTTTTAGAGCAGGAGAAAATAATTATGTAGTCGGCATAGTGTGTGGCTATCCGTTTGTAGTGCCAGCTGCAGTTGCTAACACTATGGACGGCGCGACGTTTGGCTTCAACCTCCTTGGCATATATATCAAGCTCTTCCGGGGACACCCCAAACTGCCCTCGGATACCCTCATCCAGCGCACAGTGTGTCCTCTATTTAACCAAAGTTAACGTCATAGAAATGGATGGAGCTATCCCTTCCATCATGGACCGGAAATATGTAGGCGCCGACGTTAATCTTCAGGCCCAGGAGGAAGTAGACCTCCGACGTGCCGCCAGAAGGGCCAGCTAATTTCGTCTGACTCACCTTATACGCGGCCTGGCAATGATTCCCCATGCTCGATGATAGTGGTATATTTAGGAATCTATCGAACCCGGTGCCGGGCCTATTTTTTTCTTTGGGTAAAAAAGAGGGACCATCGGCAGCCATTATCAGTCCCAACTATATATGCGCATTTGATCAGGTATTACTCGAGGCTCGCCGTCGTACTAGGCCGTGTTATCATGGAAATCAGAGATAAACCTGAAAGACAACGAATCTTTCGGCAAATTATGCGTGGCTGCAAAGGACTCCTCTTTTGTGCAGGTAAAGAATAAAGTGGCATCCTTGCCTTTGTGGGTATGAGCGAATAGTTCGAGTCTTGGTGAAATAGCTAGGGTGACTTTGATGGCAACATGGCTTGAACTTGATTCGACCCTGTTTGTTTCCTTCGGGAAGTCCATCCGAAAGATTGCGTGAGATTATAAAGCAGTGATGAGCTCTTTTTTTTGCTTCTGGATTGGGAAATCCGCTTGATGAAAGCCATGTGGCTCCTCGAAGTCTTCCAAAAACTGGCCCAACGCCAACCGCCCGGTACACCCTCCCGAAACTAGATTTTCGTTCTCGAGTAGATTCGCTAGAACCTTAATGATAGTATGATCGTCCTCAAATGTCCCCTTATTGGATAGCAAAAACTCGGCTCGGGTTGGTGTGATATTTTCCAATCCCTATCTTATCTTTCAGGTTTGGATCTGACGTTCGTGAGTTTTGGCTTTCTCGGTCAAACAGCGATGATACTAGCAGGACAGAGGATCAGCATGGGTTTGTCAATGGAGTGTAGTATTGAGGCTAAATAAACCAACACCAGCATCTGCAGCGTCTTGCCGAGGCCGCAGGTATCTGTGAGCCCCCCGCCCTTCATAGGGGACTGCTTGCGGGCCAGGGCGAAGGCGATTCCAGTCACTTGCCAACCCATTGGTTTGATTGACTTTGTCACCTACCTTGAGTACTGGGTTCATCGGGTCAATCCAATTAGTTAACAGGCGTCAAGATAGGCAGGTTCCTCAAAGAAGTTTCTCAAAGCACTGATCGTCGATCTGGGTTGGTCGCGGTTGGAACTCCATCGTTCTGAATTAGGTGCAGAGGTACATCCCCAGAGAATATTCTGGTCGGAAATGATACCGATTCGTCACGAAAAGATCTTCATCTTGAAAGAGGGCAATCTGGTGGCCAGTCCAGTACCTGCAACCCCGACCCTCGGTGTTGAACCCATACCGGTGACGCCCAGCAACTATATTTCTTCCACCGCAACCATTTGCTATTGCTAGTCCACCCGTTATAAGTTGCAGAGCCTAGCGACACGATATCGGAGTCAAATATAGTCAAAGTTCCGCTGCCGGAGATCAATCCTAGCAAGGGTCATTTGTCTTGCGGATGTGTGTCCGAATGACGAATCCAGGTATGGGGTATGGAAAGTATCGAGTAAGGCTGATGGCATTTGATTGGGAGAATATCAAGCCGATATGTCCCAATTACCTGCCATATGAGCATCAAATTGCTCGCCTCGTTCTGTTTCTCCATCGACATGGCGTGGAAACACCCAAGCTAGCGTTTCAGAAATTTTCGTTTCTATCTTTAGGAGACCGGGATTGAAAAGATAAATAATATGGGAGGGAATAAAAAGGAGGAGTAGGTAATGTTCAATAGCGTTGAGCTAACCAGTTGGTCGCTGACGGAGCGCGCGGATAGGGGGGATGAGCCGATGAATGGTGTTCTCGACGTGTTTCCTCTTCAACAGATGTAGTTTTGACGTGTCCTGCAGGTCAAAGCTCTTGTTCATCGACTGGTTAGCAATGCTATTCGCAGTCGTATCAGCGTAAACGGGTAGGGATGGGTAGTTTACATGGTGTTCTTCCCCAGCTGTCGATTCCGGGAACAGATCAGACCCCTGATCATAGCTATCAGGTATCTCGAGTCGTTCACCGAGATCTAAACCGGATTCACTATCCTGGCTATCTGCAATCTCGTACCTCACGCGCTTCGACGCGGGTTCCATTGCAGCAAAGGTGCAGTGGTCGCTTCGCCACATAGGACCCATAGTTGGCAGGAGGATTTACTGTAATTGGCAATGTATGGAGCCAATGCAGCTGTGGTTGCCCCAGCTTCAGATGCATGCAATATATCGGGTCATGCGATAGCTGGGATGTGCATAGAATGGGCGCTTTAGCAGGCGGGGTGGGCGGAATAGCTTGGTTTTATAGACGGTCGAAGCATGACCAAACCGAGGGCATCAAACTAATGGAAAGACCATGAGCAATCGCAGAACAATTCGAAACCCCTGGCTGAACACGGTTAGGGTGACCGTGAGATTGTAAAGCAGGCAGTGGCTCCGAGCGGGAGGCGTAAAACGGAACGTAACTTCGAGGTCTTTAGGGTAGTAGGGAACTCGAAATCGCAAAGAGTGTTGCTGAGGCTGCTGTTGAACTCCCCTGCCTAGGGCCTCACTATACAGAAGGGTACAAGTATCAGCCTGATCGTTTTTCTCCGCTTCCAGGTCGTCTAGGCGGCTCCGGAGGTCCGCTCGTTGATTCAGCAGGTCGGTAATTTCCGCGCGGGCGGACTCCAACTCCTTGTTAGTCTTGTTGATGATTGCATCCTGCTCCTTCACCGTGTCTAGCAGTTCATCTATGAATTCCTGCCTCTCATCGGTGTCTCTTTGATAGCCCTTGATCATTCGATCCTGTTCGCGTCGGCGCCGCTTCACGAGTATGTCGTTCACTTTCATCAAATCGACGAGGGCGTCCGCTTCGGCTTTAGTTCGATCGAGGTCCGCTTGCAGAGCAGGCGTATTGTGTCCCTCCGGGGGTCGCTGAGTCTCGCTGACTTGATCGGCAGCTTTGTTATTGAAGTCCTTGATTTGCTCCCGTAGGTGATCGTTCTCCGTCCGTGCTGAGCGGGAGATGATCGATATACGCAGCAGTTGCTCTGATATGGCGGTCTGATTCGTGTGACCTCCGTTCTTGTGATCCAACTGTCATCCCGGACTAGGATAGACAGGCCTTTGCTGGCGTTTAGCGACAATAAAAAATTCCGATGGCCCTATAGGGACATAACCGGTAATTATTGTCGACCCAGACTAGAGGTGTAGGTCCTCAGCCGAGTAGTGGTAGAATAGATCAAATATATATATCTGGCTGAGGGAGTAGTAAGTAGTATAGAGCGCGGAGGATGTAAAAAGAATGGAAAATGGTTCCAAATGGTTCCAAGAAGATACATACGCGAATCGGGGTTTAACCGTGACAGTGAGCAACCTCTATCCTTCACATCCCTCTGATTCCCTCATTGATTCATGGGCGAGCGTGAAGAACCTCCGGGGGTGCACCGACACCCGTGAAGCGACCCGGGGAGGTGACTGACACACATCACTCATTCCACGTCAAATCCTATCCCGGGACATCACTGTTCAAGGAGTCTGTTAGGGCTTCCGCCGGGACGTGGCTTCGATGGCTTTTTGGAGTCGTAGGGATGGGGCAGCTTTGTTTTGGGGACTGGCATTTTAGTGGAGAGTGCAAGAGGGGCTGAGAGGGTCGAGTGCGATTTGGGATGCGTAGATTTAGGAGCGGTAGAAGAATTTGTATAGGTGGACACGGTAGACTAAGGATGTTCCTGAGGGTTGGAGTGAAGATGGCGGGTGGTTGACTTTGGAGAGGAGGCGGCTGACGTTGAAGGTCACAGCAATCAGATTTCCATATTATTCAAGGCTAGAAGGTGGATAGCATCAAATAGCCCGCATGGCTTAATGGTAAAGCGCATCACTAGTACGGTTTCATACTGCTATCTGCCATGATGAGATCCTCAGTTCGATTCTGAGTGTGGGCATTTGTTTTTTTATTCTTGTTTTTTTTGTGTTTTTTATTTTTCCTTCTCTTCATAATTTGCTGCATCCATGATATATACCGTGTTTTTAACCCGCTAGAAAACTAGTCGATTGTAAATATTGAGACCGCTCTTATTCTCTAGGAAAATGTAAAGCATTCGGGGTGACGTCATTTCTATACCCCTGCCTAGGTACCGAGAATAGACTCCTTGAGTTTAGACAAGAATACACTAATTATCAAGAGAAGGCTTCCCCAGACAAAATAGGTGTAGATATATATTCTACAGATGGAACATCTATTGGTATAGAGCGGTGGGGAGTGAAGGGGAAAAATATAGATCCTAGCACAGACTCCAAAGGAAAAAAGTCTATCTATTAAAACAGTTGGTGGAAGAACGAAATGGGAGGGAGATTGGTCAAAATAGTCAAGGAAAAATAATTAATGTACGTAAAAGGAAATTGAAAACATAATTGGGTATCACTTCATACAAGAAAGGAATAAGGAAGTGGGATTCCTTGTCGATTTCGATGCGGTGAGACGGTTGGAACGCCGTGGTTGGGAGGGACGGGTATGTAAGAATAGCCGCGGACAGAGTCGACGCGACATCGGCGTGTTGATTCATTATTTATTCGTCATCAATGGGCCCTCGCGGCCTTCGCGCCGATTTTCGGCCATTTATAAAACATCCCTCTCTTCCTCTAATGCTTTCATTCCCTTCGCTCTGAACTTGGTATTAACAACTCCTCCAAGGCCGTAAGCGGGCACGATTCTTCCAATTCTAGCAAGGACGCTTGGTGCCCAGTCTCTCTTAACACGGGCCCATCTATCCGATGCAGGTAGCCCCCCTGGGGGTTGGCGGTTATAAAGATCGAGACCCAGCAGGTGAGGTGGTGTGCTGAAAATTTGGACGGTTGCGGGAATCGAGAACTGTGCAAGGGCAAGCTTGGACGAAGGGGTAGAAGCGAGGATATCGGGTATATAGGGTGATAGTAGGGTTGGAAGGTTGAAGGAGGCGAAGATGGTCATGCTATCTCGGAAACAGAAGAGGCCAAATGATCGAAGTGGGATCTTTGGCGCCTGTGGGGAATGAGAGACGGGAGGGTGGCAGTGGATGGGCGCTTGCCCAAATTTTTGCGATCCTGACGATGTTGCGAGAGTATTTGGAGACGGAGTATTACCTTGAGCTCCGAATAGGCGAGCAAATCGCGCGTCTTTGTATACACATATAGACAGGTTGACACCGGCTGTGGCAAGAAATTTAGTTACGCCAGCTGAGACGTGGCTAAATGGGCGATCATTCATTGTCGATGTAACAGTGTCAATGACATTGGCAGTCAAGTATGTAGAGCCATAAAGGGTATATATGAGTAGGAAGGGGGTCGATATAAAGAAGCTGTGCGGCCGTTTGAGGATGGAAACGATGGACGATTTAAGACTCTGACTAATCCCAACACCCTTTGCAGCCTTTTCAATGATAGCTCTGTAGAAATAAACATTAGAATGTTAGCCGAGTAATCTATCTCAAGGTCGCTCCGCATCTAGTCCGTGACATGCAGAGGAATTGGATCGACTCACTTGTCAATGATTGTAATCAGTGGGCATATCATAATCGCCGCTCCAGCTGCACTGACCGCATCTACAGCCAGTCTCCTACCCAAGCTGTCTGTATTCCAGCTTCCGGGCGAGGTCCCCGGCGTGGAGACGACATCTTGTCTTGGTGGTGACATTGTTGGCGATGACACCGATTCGCGGCGCAATTGCGGCGTGGGATCTTCTCGACTCATTTTCGAGAGCGAGTGACACAAGAGAGACACAAGAGATAACGAGGGACAAAAAACAGACAAGAGACACGAAGGAATTCTCTAGTAGTAGCTTAGCCCGACATCAAGCGGATAGTTAAATAAGCCTAAGGAACAGTTGGGAAACCGCCTGGGAAACGACTGGAAGCAAACACCTGAATAATTGCCAGGGAGCATGACAGGCATTTATAAAAGAAGCCAAACAACAGAAACACAATTCCACAGCATATCCACCGCCTCTGGCGAGCTCGTCCCATCCGCTGCTTTGTATTCGAATTATTCGATGATAAGAAATTTCTGGGGCTGACTCGATGCCGATTTCGGCCCGGAGTGTATCCATGGATCCCGATGACAGGCCGGTCACGTGGTCAAATTAAAAATAACCCCTGGATGTCTTGGCAATATCAAACACGACATCAACAACATCACAGCATTTCTCACGGACTTCCAGAGCTCTGGTGCTCGAGGCTCTGATGTTCTACCCTCAATTATCAATTCGATAATATTACTCTAAGCCCGCTTCTAATGTGTCGTATCAACGGGCTAGAACCTGACTTCACGCGGCCAAATTCCACGGAGGAGCTATCTCGTTCCAGCTTCAAAAGACCTGCCGAAATCAAATGCGGCAATGCCAAATAAATTGTTAATTGACTTTTGAAATTTTATCTATCGCATTGCGGAGATACCCAGCAGCTTGTTGGTACTCATCAGCACAGCTATCCGATTAGTTCTGTTTCGATACAAAGGACCAATCTCGGCACGTTCCTCATCCGCCAACACTGCCTAAGGACACCATCCAAGCTTCTTCTAAGACCAAATGTCTCCTTAATCGAAGTCAGTGGTGACTTCATTTACCTTATCACTTTCAGAGTTCTTCATACGTATTTCCTGAATGCGAAGGCCGATCCGTCCTCCTTTTTCAGGAAACCGCCCAACACCAATTTCAGCGAGGACTCCCTCATCTTTCCCTTCTACAAACCATTTATCTCGGCCCTCCGAGCCCAGGAATTCAAGAGCCGCTCAGCACCAAAAGTCATCTGGTTAATGTTCAGTTTTGTTTCACCCCACGCTACCAAGAGCTTTGCCCTGGATTTTTCTCCACTTCCCCACTTCCCCACACTTTATGCCCGAACACCCCGTTCGAGAATCCTTTTGGCCGAGGAGTTCGGGAAGAAGCTGCGTGCAGCAGCCCGAAGCAAATTCGGAAAACCTTCCAAAATCATGTTATTTCACGGTTAGATTCCAAGTTCCTTCCGTTGACCATGATCGACTGACTCATTAGCACATTGCTTCTTCGCTCCATGACTGGTTAAGGTCCCTTCCAAGCTCCACTCCGCTGTGGGATCTGATGTCGAGTTGCTAGATTTCTGCCAACTGCTCTCAATATGATGTGAAAAATGGGCGTAGCCTCGGACCAGTCCTTTGGCTTTTCCGAGGACGCATATCCTCTTTCCAGGAGTAGATGGGATTGCCAGAGCCAAACGTCCAAATGTGCTAAGCTCTTCCCTCGTGTAACATTCTATGCTAGCTTAGTCGCCTACTTTTGGGCAATTGAGTTTATAACCAGGAGGCCCGCCGCCATTAAACCTGCTCAGTGGCATCTCAGCTCTCCTTCTCTCTTCCCAATCCCCCGTTCGCACAACAGTCGCCTTCCATGGCCCAGCCAGAAATATCCCCAGCTCTAAAAGGGGAGGAGATGAGGATTGAAAATGTCGATGAGAAGGGTAAAGTCGATTCTTCGTCCTCGGATATTATTGGCAGTGTCGAGGCTGCCGACAGCGAGGTGGATGTCGATTCGTTCTCGGATGCCGAAACCACAAAAATCTTGAGAAAGGTTGACTATCGCCTTGTTCCACTTCTTGGGGTACTATATCTCCTTGCGTTTATTGATAGAGGAAACAGTATGTTACCAGCCAATATCCCTCGAACTCCTTCGAACAGTTGGCATCATAAGCTAGGTAAAATATATAGTGATTGAATGCTAATGTCATTCTAGTCGGAAATGCAAAAATTGCAGGCATGAATGACGACCTTAAACTTCACGGAATGCAGTACAATATCGCATTGACAGTCTTCTTCATTCCATACTCGTTGTTCGAAATCCCGAGCAACATTGTTCTCAAGATCCTGCGCCCATCGGTATGGATATCTGTGATGATGCTTGCCTGGGGAACAGTGATGACGTGAGTATATCCACCAAAATCAGTTCTAGGGCCATCGTTCATTTTGTTAATACCATTTTGTAGCTTGATGGGGATTGTCGCGGATTACCAGGGCCTTGTTGCAGCTAGGTTCTTCCTTGGAGTTACAGAGGTACAGTCAAAGCTACCCCTTTGCGGTTTGTCGATATAGCATCTATAGGCATACTCACTAGAGTATATAGTCCGGATTCTTCCCTGCTGCGACCTTCCTCCTCACGATCTGGTATCGTCGTTATGAAGTACAAACTCGCATGGCCATTTTCTACGCTGCTGCCTCCCTCTCTGGCGCATTCTCCGGGCTACTAGCATTCGGGATAGAAAAAATGCATGGGGTAGGCAATCTTGCAGGCTGGCGATGGTAAGATCTCCAAATCAGACCTCACCAAAATTCATGCATATCTAACACTATTGTACAGGATCTTCATCCTCGAAGGCCTCCTCCCAGTTGCATGCGCCTTCGGGGTCTGGTTCATTCTCCCTGACAGCCCCGAACGAGCCAGTTTCCTCACTCCCATAGAGCGCAAATTCATCACAGCAAGATTGTCGTCCGATCCCGGTACAGGAGGAGGGAAAGTTACCAACAATGATAAAATTAAACCCCGCCATATTTTGGCGGCCTTCAAGGACTGGAAAATCTGGGCTGCCGTCGTCATGTTTTGGGGTAACTCCATCGGAGTTTACGGGTGCGTACAGTACATACATACATACATATCACACTCCCTTCCTTGATTAGCATTATACCACCTACATCCACCCCCCTCCCTAACATTCGTCCAGATTCACTGCCACCGTCCCCACCGTCATCCGCGACCTAGGCTACACGGCCGCAAACGCCCAACTAATGACCATCCCCATCTACGTCGTCGCCATGCTGCTAACCCTAACCTTCGCCTACTTCTCCGATCGCCTGCAAACGCGCACCCCCTTCATCATGGCCGGCTTCTCCATCGCCGTCGTCGGCTTCATCGCCCTCCTCGCCATCCCCCACCCGAACCTCCCAG